ATCGAACTCGAGATTATGAATATGAACGTAGTCGACGAGATCGTGATAGGGTTAGAGATAGCGATCGCGATCGTGACCGTGACCGTCGACGTAGTAGGAGTCGTGAGCGTCACAGAAGACATCGAAGTTCTAGTCGCGATCGTAAGGAGCATTATGATCGTCGTAGTAGCTATGATTATGATCGAAGAAGAAAATATGACGATGATAGATATGAACGTCGTAGAAGTTAAATGAAGTTAAATTAGTAATTTAAAGAATTTTTTCAGTTAAATGTACTAAAATCGTGTTATTTTAAATATTTTCTTTTTGCTCGAGAATTTTTAAAAATTTTCTCAGTCGTAATGACATAAGTTTAGTATTACCTCGTTTTTCTTTTTTTATAATTTATAGATGTTTGTCATTTATGGACATTTGCTGGTGTCTAAAATTATTTCTTGTAAGATTAAAAAAAAAACCAATCCTCTAAAAGGCCCGTGATCCAACCTCACGTTCATTTGATGATAACGTTTTAACGTTGTTACTTTTCAAGGAAAGTTACGTTCTTTTTTTTCCGTATTCAGATATTTTATTTTTATCTTACTAAGGATAATAAATTACATGCAATAATATATACAAAATACCAATTTTAGAAAAAAAAAATATTTGTAATCAATTGAACTTTAGCATATATTTTATTTAGGTATATTTTAGCTATTATTCATGCGCAATTTTTATGACACATTTTCCTCGTGTACATTTCGTTGCTGGCACTGCAAAGGTAATATAACAAACAGCATTTCATTTTCGGTATTCTAATTAATAAACTTTCTTTTGAAATTATCAAAATGCTAAGTTTTTCATAATTTATACCATTTTTTTTGTTAATATATAAAAATAACATTTTATTTTCAAAGAATGTGATTTTATAATATCTCAAATATTCATCCTCTATCTCTTTCACCTTTACTTTTATTATATGTTAATTAATCATGTTAATCAGATTACTAATCAGTAAATTTATTTTATTTAAAGTTATTTAAAATTTAAAAAATATGATAAATGGTAAATAACCAATTGTAATTTTAAAGAAAATTTTATGTTATAAATATTAAAAAAAAAAAAGGTATTTAACATAAAATTAAAATGATTAAATAAATATAGAAAGAAAAATAGAAGATTAATTTTTATAGTTAAATTATTTTTGTATTATTATTTGAACTAATTGGAAATGCATAATATAATAATAATAGATTAATATTCAAAATATTTTGTAATTATAAAAAAAATGTGAATTTTTAACAAGTATAATAAAATTTAAATAAGATTTACTTTTTATATATTTTTATTATAAATTATAGAGATAATGTAACTTATTTAAGGTTGCTTATCTAAACTCATTTTGGATTTGACAAAACATTTAAACTTTTGTATTTTTATAAACTTTACTTTTTTCTGAATTTTATATTATTTTTAATAAGATTTTAATATAATTTTGCTAAATTTTACTTTTTTATCATTTAAATAACTTATTAAATCTTTAAGTTTTGTTTAATAACCTTAGTTTTTTATATTTAAAATATGCTTTTTAGAATATTAGACTTTATTCATATTTAATAATATATCAAACTATACTACTTTTTTATTAAATATACTAATTGTCAAATATATGAATCTTAGCCTAGTAGAAGTAAATTAAAAATATGTAACATGTATTTTAATAAGAAAATTTAACAAATAATGAACTTTTGTTAGATTATCATTAAAATTGCTTGTCTAAACTCATTTTGGATTTGATAAATTATCTAAACTTTAGTTTTACTTTTTTTATTAAAGTAATAATATAGTTTTACATTTTTATAAGCTTTGATTGATATAATTCTACCTTTTCCAAAGTTTTGTAGATTTTTAATAAGATTTTAATATAATTTGCTAAACTTTACTTTTTACTATTACAAAATCTTTAGATTTCTTCAGCAATCTTAATTATTATATTTCTAAATTATGTAAATAGTTAAAAAGGTTAAAGCAAATTCTAATAGAAAGGTAATTATGATTAAATAAAGAATTAAAATTTAAAGAAGTATAAAAAATAATAAATTAATAACTAAATTTTTCAGTATAAAAGGAAAGATTATAAAAGGTTATTATTGCAATTAGATATTAAATTATATTTATTCTAAATTTTATTATAAATTTAATTATATTAAGAATTTTTGAGAATGCAGCTAAAAAATTTAGTTGGTCAAATTGTAATTATTTATAAATAAGATTACAAAGAACTATTTTATTAACTATTATTTTTATTTTATTTATAATTATTTATTAATATGAAATAAAAATATTTCACTATATAAATATATAATAAAAAAGCTTAATAGATTAATAGTAAAATTTGCAGAAAAATAAAATATATTGTATAAAAAAAAATACAGTAGTGATCATAAATTATATAACAAAAAAAAAAATTTCATTAAAACAAAATATTTTTTGTAATTATGGAAATAATTAATTTTTTTTTTATTATTTTAATTAATAATATTATTATTTTTTAAACTAAAATTTAAATATGAATTAATAAGTAAATTATTTTTTAAATTATATAATTATTCAGATAATGCTGTTGCATTATTTATTTTTGTTTTTAACATAACTCAAATAATAATTAATACATCTCAAATTAATATATCACAATATTATTTTTTTTTAAAATATATTTTAAATTTAATATAATTACTACCTTGTATATTCTCCTTGAGCCTTAATAACATCATGAATCCTTTCTGACATAAACTGAATTAGGTTAGTACAAGTTTCAACATTGAATTCTTTCCAGACCTGCTGTATCTTATTCCATAAGTCCTCTTTACTTAAAATTTATCTAGGAAGATGTCTTAGTTGACGGTCAATCTCATTTTATAAATGTTCAATAGAATTCAGATCTAGGGATTAGGGTAGCCAATCTAGAACTATTATCTTGTTTCTCTTAAGCCATTATTTTATTGAATTTGCTGTATACTTTAGATCTCCATCATATTGAAAAATAATGTCTTTAATAGTAAAATTATGTGTTTTGATAGTGTCTATTAAATCGTCATAAAAAATTTGTTGATACAAGTTAGCATTCATAATGCCATTAATCTTACAATAATCACCAATACTACGAGATGTAAAATATTCTCATATCATAACTGATCTGCCTTCAAATTTTACTATAAGTTTAATATGGTAGTCTTTTATTAATTCTTCAGAACGCTTTTAATAATACTGCTTTCTATCAGAACTAAAAATCTTGAATTTTGATTTATCAGACCATATTATTTTTGACTAGTCCTTAACAGTCCAATTTTCATACTTTTTTGTAAAATTATATCTCAAGATTTTTTATGTTTTTTATTAAGGTATAGCATTTTTCTTTTAATCCTTACTACTAACTTATTATTTTGAAGTACACAATGAATAGTAGATGTTGAGAAGTTAAGATTTTTTTTTTCTTGTAGTCAGTTTTATACTTCAACAGCTAATAAATACCTCTAAAAAGTAATAAGGTTAACAATCCTTCTTTGTGTTAGTTTATTTACAGTAAGTAGATGATCTGTTCTTGTTAAGTTTTCAAGAGAGTTAGTTTTAAGTTATCTTTTCTAATATGAAAAACTGTAGAAGATATATTTTTTGAGCCTTTGCTACTTCTTTAGTTGTATGTCCATTTTGTAATGAAAAAAGAATTTGTGTCCTTTCATTAGAAATTGTGTAATACTTTTTTGCTGCTACTCGTTTATTAAGTAGTTGTGATATATCACAGGAATAAACATTAAATAAAAAAATATCTTTTTATACAATTTTTATGTAGCACAATAATGATCATCTGATTTATGTTAAAAACAATTAAAAGTAATGCAACGTGCGATTTGTATTACTTGTATATTATTTTATAAACAAAATTATTAATGCATATTAAAAATTTAATACTGAAAAATAATGGTATTAATAAATAAAAATTTATTAAAGATTTTAAAATTGAAAGAAATATTTAAATTTAAAGGATTTTATTTTTTTGTTGTATTATTTATGATTACTACTGTATATGTTATAGATGATATAGACTATAAGATATTTATGATTTCCTAGAGATCAATGTTATTCTTTTAATTATTATCATCTGTCTTCTTTTATGTAATACTATTGGAAATAACTTCATCAGAATTTTAAAAATATAGTTTTATTAAACTTAAGTTATTTTATCATTTTAAGATTACATTTTATATTTATCAATTTTTGAATGAGAAGTAACAAATTTGAATTTTATCAAATTTATTAATTAGAACTAAGTTATGTATAATATGAATTAATAGATATTTATAAAATTCTTCTTTATAAAAATAAATTAAAAAAATAAATTAATAATAAATTTTTAGATAAAATAAATTAGATCAAATATTAGTTAAATAAGACAATATAATTACTAAAATTTTTTAATATTATTTAATTATATTTAATTATTAAAATTAAATTCAATAAATTTTTTTGAAAAGTAATTATTAAATTATAATAAGATTCTCTTAAAAAATTAAATATCTCTTAAAACATAAATATAAAATTGATTATAAAATATGTTGAAAAATTATAATATTTAATATCTAATGATCATAAAAAGATGAAATAAAATTTATTAGATTTGTTATATTAAGATGTATCTAATAATAATATTTTAAAAATTTTTGAAATTTTTAAAATTAATAATTATTAATTCGTAATACGTGAAAAATATGTAGATCATGTTATAAGGATTATTATTAAATTAGCAGGTTATATTAATTATAAACTCGTACTAGTCTTCGCAAATCTCAACGTTTCCAGTTTTCTATACTCAATTTTGTAATGGAAACCGTCGTGAGTTATCAGTTATACTTGTATTGAGTGGAAATATTGT